CCCCCCATATCAGCTACATCGACGTTTTCAGATGGGATTGATGCCGGTGGCTCCGTTAGCATCGGTGCCGGTCTTTGGCTCTTGTTGTGACTCTTCTCTCTTCTCTCGCGGGATTTTGGCCCTTTGGCTTAAGATTTTAGATCGATGGAGGTGGTTGGGTGGTGGTTCGGGTGTGGTCCGAGCTCGTGGTGGAGACTCGTAGTCAAGGCTGAGGCGTATCAATTGATTGGTGGTGCGCTCGTCTTGATCTCACGAGATACGCTTTCGTGTCAGATCCTCCTCCTTCTAAGCTTTTCTCTCCTTCTCGGTGGTGTATGATCTCTTGCTTGGCGGTGAAGCTAAGTCTCGGTGGGGGTGTAGTCAAGTGTTTGCGACTAGGCTCGTGTTTCTTGTTTAGGGAGCTTTTTGTTTTGTTTTCATCTGGACCCGTTCTGATTTCTTCTTGTAGTTTCTTTGGTAATATGCTTCATTGGCCTAGTAGGTGGACTTCAATCTTTGGTTCTGGCTCGGATCTTCTGATTTGTGATTCCGGACATTGATTTGATATGTCCTCTTTAGCCTTGTTTGTTAATGCAATTAGGCCATGGAATTCCGGTTTCTATCAAAAGTCTTCTTTGGATCGGATTCTTGAAAAGGTTTGAACGGGTCGTAACCCTCTGTCATCCTTCACGAAGAAGAAGGCCATGTGTTGTAGTTTTCACTAATCGTTTTCCCGATGGCTCGATCCTTTAACTTTGTGATGGCTCGTTGGTTCTGTTGCGGTGGGGTTTTTAGTGTGGGATGGAGAGTTGGAGTACGTGGAATCGGTAGCGCCCAATTACATTGGACTTCGGGGGCCTCTTGAGGGTGCGGCATAGCTGCTTTTCGTTGTTGCGTGCTTGTCTTCAGCTCTAGTTTCAGTGGTAATCTTCGGCCTCAAAATTATGTTAATATAGCTTGTGAGGAATGAGTTCATTGGTTGGAAGGGGAAGTAGTTGAATACTCAGTACAACTAGTTTGATTATAGTTTTTGTTGTTGACAATTTCTGAATCCCTTTCTCTGGGTGTTTTTCGAAATTGTTTTGGGATTGTATTATATCGTAATATCTACCTGTATTCTATCTGCGTATTTATGCTATGTATTCCTTTCAGGTTTTACACCATGTTTAATATAATATTACAGATGAAAAAAAAAAAAATCTTTCAAACTTAACATGATGGAAAATTTATATTAAAAAAATGGTTAACAACCCCATTAAAAGTTCTACCAATGGAGGTGCTCCACCACATATATTTATAGAAGAGCATAAAACCATATACACATACATACACGTTTTACGTGTTCGATATATATATATGCCAAGGTGTACAATTCTTAATCGGATTGAGATCAAATAATCTAAAAAAAATAACTGACACTAAAATTGCTACGGAAGATTTTTACTTTCTTTCCAGTTCAAAAATATATGTTACCATATATACTAGGCAGAATCTTAAAATACCACTCTCAAAATTCCACAGTATATGGTATTGTGATTTTAAATCCGCGTATGGTATCGTATAATGGGTAATCTTTACAATAGAATTGAAACTTTAAAAGTAACTAATTTTCAATCACAGTGAGGTTCAAACAGTGGCGAACCTATGACTAACAATATGGGGTCAAGTGACACCGTAATATTTAGAGAAATTTATGTTTTATCATTTGATATATATCTAAAATTACCTTATTGGCTTGTAATGAACCCACGTAGATTTCACATAAGAGGTTTGGTGACCCCCTTTAAATGTTTTTATTAACTATTTTTGATAAATATTATTGTTTCCTCCAAGTAATTTTTTGTTTTTTGTTTTAAATCTACTCTTCATTGACAAAAATAAAGTTTCTTATATTTTTCTAATATTATACTCGTACCATAAAAATATATAACATTTTGACCCCGTAAAATATATTTCTGGATTCACCATTGAGTTCAAATGGAATCTGGTTATACTAGTACGTTTTCTACTTAAGTCTTGATTGACATCATAACAACTATATAGTCAAGAAGAGGCTAAGCTATATTATTTAGGTCCACTAAAATATTAGCTGTTCTCTCATTTTATTTTATTTTAAGGCAAGAGGAAGA